CATTATAAAACACATTTAAAAATTACTTTGAAAATTACATTTTGACTTGCTTAGTTGTGACAACTTCCGAAAATGCTCAGAAGGAGTCATCTTGGCAAACATAACCCCACTTTAAGTCACAATTCATAAGGAACTTCAGGGCAGTTACTGGGCGAGAACTAGCAGGGACCTGGAGTCAGACGCCTCCCTGGCTTTGGTTCCTGGCTCCAGTTTTACTCTTTGTGTGACTGTGAGCAAGTCACAGACCCTTCCTGTGCCTCTGTTGCCTCCTGTCGCAAATGGTGGTGTGACCCTGATTCGCACTGGACTTCATCTCCTGTTCTTACTTTAAACTTATATCTAATGGCACAGTTGGGGATCTCTGCGCTAACACAGGACACAACTGTGTATTTCTTATTTTTATTCTATCTTATGTTCCTTCTGCCCCAAGATCATACCTGTAGATTCAGGATTCATAACAGAACAAAAATATAAAAGAGGCAGAGGGCAAAGTGGAGATTGGCTGATAGTCTTACAGCACCATGAGGTGTGCTCCCAGGTACACAAAACTGAATAGTATTGAATACTTAATGACAAAAGAAACCATTTGCAGTATATTAAGTGGGGGCAGACAGGTCAAGAAATTATATGTACATACATATATAATTCAAAACTATGAATAAAAAATTGAAAAGGTGTGCATCAAAATGGTAACTGTGGTTAGAATAGGTTATAAGATTAGGGTGACATTTTCCTTCTCTGTGCTTTTCTGAACCTTCCCAAATTTCTACAATTAAATTTTAAAATCAGAAGAAAGTTTCTTTCCCCCCAAATACCTTTTCCCTCCCATAACACAATGTTCGTAATGTACCTATATCACACATAAAATCTGTGAAAGGGATAATGAAAACAGCTAACATATATTTGGCATTTATGATGTGCCAGTCATTACAGTAAGGACATTACCTAAATTCACATTTAGTCCTCATACTCTATGATATAGGTATTGTTCTGACCCCATTTTGCAGATGAAAAAACTCAAGTTATTCATGTGAGGTCAGACAGCTAGTAACTGGTAGGGTCCACGGTCTGAACACAGGGGATCTGACTCCAGAACTCACTCTCTCTCTCTCACTCTCTCTCTCTCACTCTCTCTCTCACTCTCTCTCTCTCTCTCTCACGTGAGGGCCACTAGGCTTCCTGCCTCTGCCCACACTGCTTCCCCAAAACCTAACTTTAAAAAATTTTTGTTCTTGCTTTTTATATTTTCCATATAGCTCTTCTTGACGCTCACCCTTTTGGGAGGAGGATGGAAATAGTCGATGTGTACACTCATTGCATGAGGTAAAAATGCAGCATTCACTGCGCACATGGAATCTCTGCTTTAAACACACACACCTTCCCAAAGGGACGTGGGAACGTGCAGAACCAAACAGGGAGCAGCACTGACCAGACGGCAACCCTGCCGTTAGGGGCTCTCACGGCACGGTGAGCCTCTCCTGCTTGACCCCTGCCACGAATGAATTTTACACCTGCTTGTCATCTGTTTGTTTGCCAGGCACTACTCTGAGCACTTAGCGTATATTAGTTTTCTTCTCACCATTACTGTCCCCACTTTACACATAAGGAAACTGAGGCCTAGAGAAGTTTAGAAACTTGCCCAAGGTCACAAAGCTAATAAGTGACAGAACTGGGTTTTGACTCTGGCTCTAGAAGCATCAATCTTGAGTGACCATATAAATAAATGTATGAAAATACACTCTCCATTTTCTTTTTTTAAAAAAGCCTATCTCTTATTAGGATCGTTTGATTCTATTTCTGTAGGTAATGAATATTTCTCATAAATCATATTTTTCAACTTTGTTTTAAGATTTTTTTTTTATGTTTAGAGAGAGGGGGAGGGAGGTAGAAAGAGAGGGAGAGAAACATCTGTGTGCCAGAGAAACAGTCATCGGTTGCCTCTTGCAGGCCCCCATTGGGAGACCTGGCCCACGGCCCAGGCTTGTGTCTCAACCAGGAATCAAAGTGGCTACATTTTAGTTTGTGGAACACCATCCAACCCACTAAGCCACAGTCAAGGTTCATAAATCATATTTCTAATATTTTTAAATTGTATTGCTATTGGGAATGGAATTTTTTTAATTACATTTCTAAATTGTTATTTGGATGTTAAAACAAACACTGGCATATTAACCTGTTTGTAACTTTTGTACTTACTGAGTTCTCTCATTATCTGTAATAACTTTAGTTGTTTCCCCATTATTTTAGCTCCATAATCTCTTAATTTCTATAGATAATCATTTTGCCTGCTCTTTCCAACACTGAAGGTATCACCTTTTTTCAGTTGCCCAATTTCATTGATAGGCTCTCCTAAAACTAAATAAAGAACAGTGAGACTTCCGGCCAAGATGGAGCTGTAGGTGGAAACACTGTGCCTCCTCACATGACCAAAATTAAGGACAACAAAGATTTAGAAACAAAAACACAACCAGAACAGACAGAAAATTGAACTGTATGGAAGTCCGACAACCATTTAACCAGACGGGTAAGAGGGGCAGAGTCAGGGGCCAGCGGAGAGGGGTTGCAGCAGGAAAAGGCAGTGGCTGCCAGACCCGGGAGCACAGGTGGCACAGGACTGACCACGGTCACACATTTGTGCACAGATAAACCAGGCAAAAATGGGCAGTGAGGCAGACCATGCAACCCAGGGCTCCAGAGTGGGGAAATATAGCTTAAAAGCACCAATTGAAAAGGTGCCGGGAGAGATTCCTAGCCTCATAGGAGAGTTCATTGGAGAGACTAACAGGGTCTAAGAATGTACACAAGCCCACCTATCTGGGGACCAGCACCAGAAGGGCCCAATTTGCTTGTGGGAAGCGGCAGAAGGGACTGAAATCCAAGAGAGAGTGGAACAAGTGCCATTGTTCCCTCTCTGACCCCCACCCCCACATACAGTGTCACAACCCAGTGACTGGGTTGCCCCACCCTGATGAACATCTAAGGCTCTGCCACTCATATGTAACAAGCACAACCTGACCAAACATTATGGCTCAAACAGAAGAACAAATCAAAGTCCCAGAGCAAATACTTTTAAGTGACCAAGAGATAGCCAACCTATCAGATGCACAGTTCAAAATACTGGTGATCAGGACGCTCACAGAACTGGTTGATTTTGGTCACAAATTGATGATAAAATAAAGGCTACACTAAGTGAAATGAAGGAAAATGCACAGGGAACCAATAGTGATGGAAAGAAAATTGGGACTCAAATCAATGGAGTGGACCAGAAGGAAGAAAGAAACAACCAAACAGAAAAGAATGAAGAAACAAGAATTCAAAAAAATGAGGAGAGGCTTAGGAACCTCCAGGACATCTTTAAACATTCCAATGTCCGAATTATAGGGGTACCAGAAGGTGAAGAGGAAGAGCAACAAGTGGAAAACATATTTGAACAAATAATAAAGGAGAACTTCCCCAATCTGGCAAAGGCAATAGACTTCCAGGAAATCCAGGAAGCTCACAGAGTCCCAAAGAAGGTGGATCCAAAGAGGAACACACCAAGGCACATCATAATTACATTAGCCAAGATTAAAATGAAGGAGAGAATTCTAGAAGCAGCAAGAGATAAGGGGACAGTCACCTACAACTCAGGACCCAACTCCAGCTAACTCAGCTTCTGAGTGGCCCACTCAGTTTCCCACTGCAGAAAGTCATCTAGATTTGTGATGCAGTTTGAATACTTGCCAGGTACCCAGACTAGTTACCACTGACCATTCGTTCACAATTGGGGGAAAAGCCTTTTTCTAAGTCATTAAGTACCAGAAACACATTGGCAGTTTATCATTATTACAGCTAGGACCTTGCTCCTGGTTCTCCCAACCAGAAACACTCCAGAAAGGTCATGAGCACCCCTCTCTGGTTAAGGAGCCACGCTGCTGAATTGTGAAAGATGAGCACCATGTCACTGGCATAATCTCTGTCTTGACTTCAAGGGCTCAATGCCTGGCTTGTTGGGGCTCCCAACAGCCGAGCTAGCGAGGAAGGGGAAGAAGCCAGGAGCAGGCAGAGCCATTGCTAAGGAGGAAAAGACCCTCTGCACACCTGATCCGTGAGGCCGGGAGTCCGGCCTGACATTCCCAAGGAACGAGACAAACTGAAGGCTAATTCCACTCATTATCAGGCAGGCCACCCTGGGCTCAGGCAGGAAAAGCACCAGACAGGGTCACTCTCCAAGCCAGGCAGTGCTTTTCCACATCTGTTTGGAGTAGGAGCCCAGCCAACACCACCCACCACGCACCCCCACGTAATGAAGCTGGCCCAGACTGTTGTGAGTGCTGCATGTGCTATCAGGATCTCCCCCTGCAAGCTGGGGTTGGGGGGGAACCCCAGGTCCAGGAAGCATCTGGAATGTGGAGCAGGAAGGATCCAGCCAGTGGGTGTCCCTGCAGGGGGCAGATTACACCCAGCACAGACCCCAGTTCCCGGGGCACTAGGTGGGTTCCAAGAAAACCAGTTTCAAACCTCACCTCCTAGAAGTGAGGTACCTAATGCACTCCAAAATCGAGACAAGGGTGCCAAGAGAGGGCAGTGAAACCCCACCTTCTCCAAACAAAAGCATCATCCCCAAAGGACTAGGTCATAAGACCAGTCACAAAGAGAGCTTGGCTCCTTAAACATTAGTTGTCCCCAGGAGAGGCCATCATTTTACCTGTTGAAGATCCTAAATTCAAATGATATTTATGAATCATTACTGCTAAGACTCACAACAGCCCAGCCACCTGCAGCCAACCAGGTGAGCCAGGACAGGTCACCCTCCTCTCGGCACCCTCACCCACCCATGGGCGAAGGCGGTTTCCCTGGGAGTGGCTTCCCAAGCACAATTAAATCCATGGGGGGGCTGCAACCTACACGTGGATGCAAAGAGACCAATCAAAATCTTACTTTAAATTAGTAAACTTACAGTTCTTTACTAATCATGCAAAAAAGATAGAAAATATAGAATAGAAGGTGTGGTACATTACCCAAAAGCCCTGCTAAAGAGCGCATGTCCTTCTCCATCAGCATGTAAATCTCGTCCTCTGAGAAGCGGCCAATGCCGTGGCCGTGCATCTCGCGTTTCACAATTCCTTTCGTTATGTGGCACACGACCCACCTCAGCAGGTTGCTGAAGGGACCGCCACCACTAATAGAGAGCATCTTCCGGGTCTCATTGAGATTGTCCACCCACTGGCAATAAGCTAACGTCCTGGAAGTGTGTGGAAACAAGTTACTACCGTGCATTAGATACATCGCAGCTCCACAACATCGATTTCCACTGAGTGGTTCAGAACTGAGCACACTCTGGAGGAACAGAATCATTGCAGTTTTTATAAAGAGCAGTCTGCATGGCAGCCATGACAACAAGCCCTCATGGCTGCCTGAACTTCGGGCCTGTGAGATACACAGTAACGAATCCAGAAAAGGGTGCCAGGCTACCCTGCCACCTGACCTCTCCTGGCACCGGCCTCCCCCTCTCCCACTCCCACGGCCTTGCTCTGCTTTCTCTTCGGCAACCCCACAGAAGACAAGCAGAAACCCTCTTCAGAAGGGTTTTAGGCAGCACAGTGCGTACCTAAGGGGGCATTGGGAGGAGGCGGCAGTGACTGGCGTGCTGGCTTCATTCTCTTTCTTGATCAAAGCAATGGTTACACAGAAGTATGTTCTGTTCATTAAGCTGCACATTTTTGTTTTGTACACTTTGTGTATACATTTTATATTTTATGATATCAAAGAATTTTTTTAAAGAAGCCTTTTGTCTTTGTGAAAAGATTAGGAAGTACGTATACCTGTTCATGTTTATCATAAAATAGAAATTATAAATATTACATTAAGCTCTCCAGAAAGTCAATTGTCTGCTTCAGTTTGCTCTCCAGAACTCCAAAACAGATACGAATACCGAAAGAACGTAGGGGAATCATTGTTCCCATCTGGAGGGGGCTTTCTCAACCGCCCAGGTGTCCCTACGTAACAGGGATGGACAGTTAAGCAGCTATTGACTATTCGCGTGTTGTGCTGGCTGCAACCCCCAGGCCTTAGCTGATTTTGCTCTCTGAACCTGTGCAACTGCAGGGATGTCTTTATGGTTAACAGAGCTGGTAGATACAAATTAATGGGTTTCAAACGAAGGCTGAGAAAAATGTAGCTGGGTGCACAGGCATAAGATATTTAGTTTTTTCCTCATAATGTGCAATAAAGATGTATCAGCAGTCATCCCTACCCCTAGTGCTGGTTGATAGAGCAGAACGGCCACTTTGAAATAATTAGAAGAGTAAAAAATATTTTTACAGAGAGAACACAGGGGATGATAGTCAATTATACCTACTTTAAATTATAGCTACTCAAGGGAAAAAAAGCTATAAAAGGCCCTGAAATTTTTACCATTTTATATGGTTCTTGTTTTTAAGGGACTGTTTCTCTATAAAATAAAAATTAGGGAAAACTAGATTTCTCTAAAAGTTTTAAGCATTCTTCATGTTTACTGAAAGATCCTACAACCAAGTTTAACGTACTTTCTGTACTGTGACCATCACTCTTCCCTGTTACCTTTTACGGGGATGCCTGCTAATCCTGTAGAAAGATTTGTGCACCTCTTTTAAAAGTCTCCTTAAAATAAAGTATTGAGGAGTCAAGAAATGGGTTTTGGTGAAAAGAGGAAAAAGTACATCGTAATGGCAACTAATTAATATGTACAGAGTAGTCAGTGGAGCCTTTGATATAGAAGACCTCACATTTGCCCCACCCAGGTAGTTCAGCTGCTTGGAGCGTTGTCCCCACACCCCAAGGTGGTTGCTTCTCTCCCTGGTCAGGACACACACAACAATCAACCAACGAACGTATAAATAATTGGAACAACAAATGCATGTTTCTTTCTCTCTGCCTCCCTTCCTCTCTCTAAAAATCAATAAATTCTTTTAAAATCTCATATTTATTCTAGTAAATATTTTTAAATTTTCAAACAAAATGCTTTTCTATTTGCTCTTCTTTCTACACCAGCAATCAAGTCAACTTTCACATTCTCTCAGAATAATTTGACACTTTCCTTCTAATAAACTACACCTAAATTCACAATAAATGGGCTATGCCATCCGTGACTGTTCTGGAAGTCAGTGGTCTGAGAATAAAACAAAATTATCCTAAATTTAATCATGACCAGGTAATAATAGTATCCCAGAAGCATTTAGGGTGTAAAAATGAGGAATATGGTGGCTCTAAGCTAACAAGCTGATGTGGGGGGAAGATGCATTTTTATAAGCAAATTTCATAGGTTTTGTCATAAGCATCACTGATGCTGAAGGGTGACCAGAAGCTCACTGGGCGGAGCAGAGGGAGAGGCTTGTGCAGGAAGAGCACTGTCCGGTGGACGAAGGCCGAGAACTTCAGGACAGGTGCGTGGTGTACGGGATCCCTGAGGAAGCTCGTAAAGAGTTTGAGGCTGGAAGAGTGGACAAGGATCGGTCAGGACGGATCAGAAGCAAAGGAGGCTAAACTTTATTTTTAAACCAAAGTTTAACCACCTAAAATGTTCAAAGCAGGCAAGAAACATGATCAGACTTGTGGTGAAGGAAGGGCTGAAAGTGGGGAAATTGGAAGAGGAAGGCTGGCTTAGAAGATCATGGCAAGACCAGGCAAGAAATGATGCACTGAGCTAAGGCAACAGCGGAGGGGATGGTGAACAGGGAATGTGTGGGGAAAACATGGAGACATGAGAAAAAGGCCAATGGATATTTTTCTTATTCAGGCTTAGGCAGAAGAAGAACTTAGGCATTTTCTCCCAGGCTGATAGTTTTCATGGATGATAATGCTATTAACCAATACTGGCAACACACAAGGTGGAATAGACTTAGTTGATGAAAGATGAGTTAACCTGTTGCATCCGAAGTTTCCACAAACCTCCAAAGTGAGCAGTCCAGCAGTGTGAGAACTCGGGGGACCGATTTAGATCAGGATCGGGAATTGGTAGGCGGGAGCGGCAGTGGCAGCTTTAAAGCTGTGAGAGGAGGTGAGGTTGCCTAAGGAAGTTTCGAGGGTAGGGAGTGGTATTGGGGAAACCACAGTTCAAGGACAAGTTAGAAGAGAAGACAGACGGGCTCCAGGGCCAGCTTGGAGATGAGTAGCAGACATGGCTTTCTGAGATGGAAAACAGCAAGGACACCTTTGCAAGCGGTGAGGAGCTGGGGAGAGGTTTAGCGCTCCTATGACTCCGGTTTGCTCTGCAGAGCAGGAAACAAGGGCGGACGCAGAAGAGGAGGATGCAGCGATGGGGAGTTTTCGAAGACTAATGGGTAGAGCAGCAGGTGGGGTGGGAGAGACACCTACTGTGGCCGCACAGCTGAGCAGGCAGGGGCCCCCACCAAGGCCAGGAAGTGTGTATATAAGGTTCTGTGCCTGCATCAGCTAGTTGAAGGCAGGACACAGAAGAAACACTGGGTTGATTTAGAATTTTGCGGTTAAGAGTAACCTCAGACACTGTCTGGTCTTCTTCCATTCTCTTTCCCGCCCTACTCTTGATTTCTTTCCTTTCTTTCATTTCCATGCATTAGGAAAGAGAAGATCATGAAGACCAGGCAGGCTCTTTCAGGATCAAGCCCCGTAAAGTGTGTATAATACCACACTTTAATTTAAATACCAAAGTAAAGGTGTGCTTCATGAGCTCCTAAGTCCATTACTACAGGTAATTGACATTCCTGACACATGCTCCCATATTATTACAACCCCGAATATACTTCTTCCTGCAACTCTGTTTCCCAAAACTTCTGTCCTGCTACCTGTAACACTCCACTGAAACCATGCTGCTCAAGTCCACGATCCCTCCTTATTGCATAATCCAAGTCAACCTTCTTCCATATTTATCTTCCTTGAATTCTCTACAGCATCCAACAATACTGGCGTCTTTCTTAGAATTAGTCCTTAGCTTATGTCTCCACTGCTTTTCCTATCACGTCTTTCATCTTGCCAAGATTTTTATCTTTACTCCTTCTATCTTCTCACTCTAGGAGTGATCTATTTCCCACCCATGATTCCAAAGTGGTAACTCCCAACTCCATATCTGGCCCAGTCCCCTGTCCAGAGATCCACAGACTCTCATGAGGGAGGGACCCTTGGGAACTGCAAACCAACACCCGTACAGCTGCACTCATCATCTTCCTTCCCTTTCGATCTGCTTCTCCTCACCCAAGCCAGAAAGCAGCTCTGCAATTATTCCTCACTGCCCACCATCCCTCACTCCTGACAGCCAGCCACCCTGGGAATTCACTCTTGTTTCCAACTCAGGTAACACTAGGGTTCAGCCCTTCAGCATTCTCAGCCCGGAGGACAGTGGCCTCCTAGCAGGCTCCCGACATCCCCCTCAAGGTCATCCAAAAATCTCTTTGCCCCAAGGCAGCCACAAAGAGCTTCCTAAAACACAAATCTAAATGAGTGAGAATGATGCCGATTCTCAGAGTCATTCATCAACTGCCCATAGCTCTTTTGCTTGGCACTCCAGGCCTGTCCCCACAGTGTGACCCATCACCCTGCACTGCCTCCCATGCCCCACCACAGAATTATTTGTGGCTCCCAAAGGCCACTTTTGATCCTCTCAACCTTTGCAGACACTGCTCCCTCCGCCTGGATATCCTAATCTTTCCCTACCACCCAGCCCTTTCACCTGCCCCTCTACTTGTCCCTAGATTCTGTTGTGACACCTTCCCCTGTGGGAAGCCTTCCCCTCATCTTTCCAGCAGGTGCCTTTCCTTGGTTCTTCAAACTCTTCCCCAGCACTGAGAATACAAAGGCTCCATGTCTCCCTCCAGCCTGGAGGCCACTTGAGGACAGAGCGGCAGGCATCTCATCACCTTGCTTTCAGCCACACACACCCCCACCACCACACCCAGCACGGTGCCTGGCCTCTAGCAGTCACGCATTCACCAAGTTAGCTAAAGAAGTGAATTATTGATTGAATGAAAAAAGGCTTCACTTCTGAGCCAGCCACTGCTAAGCAGTGTTTCTGAGGGACGACAATATTTAAATTTAAAAAATGGAAAGAGCTGCAGTGGCTATGGAGAATGAAGAAGAGGCTGCCACTGTCTTTTCTGAAATCTGTGTCACTCTCCGCTGGGAAGAGGCCTCTGCACAGGAGTCATGAATTCTTAACTGGAGAGGCCAATGAGAGCCATTTGGAAAGTAGACTAGGCTGAGCAATTAAAATAATCTGTCCTTCTGAGAGCC